ACGAACCATCACGATGCTCCAGTCCTCTTCGACCGAAAGAACCCACTCAGGGCTCCCATCAGTTGAGGCAGCCCCTTCTCGTGACTATCACCATTCATACCGCCCCGAATCCACCCAGGAAGCTTGCCCCGGATCCTCTCCGTTCCATACCTGCGATCCACAAGTACGATGGCTGCATAGTCACCCATGTGCCTGATGGCCCGCCCGATACTCTGGTTGACGGCTCGCATACAAGCGTTCTCGTAAAAGTCCCTAGCCGCCTGTTTCGCGACCACCAACGCCTCGTCTCTCGACATCTTCGTCGCGCCGGCGGGATCCGTCAGTCGTTGGACAGTCGTGGTCTCGATGTATTCCGTCTTGGCCTTCCATTCGGGAGAGTTGATGTTTGGGTATGGCAGACCTACGATAATGACGCAGCGGCCCAGGCGATCGGAGAAGTTGATGCCCTCGCTCATCTTACCGCCGACTACACTGAGTAGCAGGGCACCTCGAGGTTTGGGTGGCGCTCCCGGTTTTCTGTCGGTTTCATCACCTAAAATGGCTTGGCTGTACGCCTCCAGCACCTCGTCGCTGGATCCGCCGCGGGTTTCTTTGAATGCCTGTTTTCTTTCCTGAAGGCGCTGCCACATTGACTTGGGCTCCCCAACAGTCCGGCTATCCCAAATTGCAACGACTTCATCGAGGTACCCATAACTGGGGAAGAACACGACCACGCCATCAGGCACGACGTTGCACATGTTCAAGATGGCCAGGCCCAGCTGGCTTACCATGGCCTTGTCAGCCCTGCGCTGGAAGCTGAACTCGAATGTGGAATTGGTGTCCCGATTTGGGCCGGGCTGTGTGCCTGCCAGGGTCCAGACACAGAGGTTAGAGGGGGGAATGACGTGCCCGCAGCTGAGAGTCGTGAGTTTTGAGGTGGAAAGATAGGGAAAGAGATGGTCCTTGTAGTCGTCAAAAGGAGACATAGTGCCGCCGGCGAGGATGACCGCTCTGGCGCTCGTGGCAATGGTTGAGAAGGCGTGCGTTGGTGACAGTAGCAGGTAGGAAAGTTGGATATCTGGCGGGTTCGTAGTGAGCTTCTCGTAGAAAATGCGTCCCTCGGAGCTAAGGTTGGTGAGAGATATCAGGAAGGAGGATAATATGTGTAGGACAGGCGTGGAAGATCTCGGTGATGCCTTGACGTGGCCTGTATCGGAGGCTTCCTCTTCGACATGGGCTACGTAGCTCTCAATCTTGTAGGCGAGTTTTGACTCCTGGATGTACTGAATCAGGCGGAACAGATTGATCTGATCTACTCCCTTGCAGCGGAGGAGAACTTTGAAGTCGACGATGCCCTGGGTACTCTGCAACATGTTAGTCAACGCAAATAGAAGGCCTCAAGCGTTGCGACTTACCTTGGCCTTCAATTGCCCGTCCATCCACTCGCTGAGACCCTCGACGACTCTGCCCACCTGCCCGACCATGACTCGGTTCTCTCCCTTCAGCTTCTTGCCAAACTTCTTGACGTAGACACCGAGCATCTGTCGTGCCCTCCTCAGCTCGCTCAGCTTCACCGCGGATGCATATACGTTGGCTACAGCGTCCATGATATTGTGCGCCTCGTCGACAATAACAACGTTGCCCTCTAGCTTGATGCCGAGTGCATCTCTTGCGTTCTTCTGTAGCAGCAAGGGGTATGGTAAAGTGATGATCTCGGCACCAGCAATCGCCGCGCGTGATGCATAGTACGGACAGATGGACAGCTTCTTCCCCAGATGATACAGGTCTTCGATGTCAGGCAACGTGGCGTGGGCGGTGTCCCTGAACTGATGCGTCTCGGCAATATTATCTTCTTTCAAGACGTGAGGGCACTTGTCCTTTGACTTTGGCTTTTGGAGTTCCGCACAACGGTCATTAATGGCGGATAAGCTGCCAAGGCGCGATACGGAGGGGTTGATGCAGAGTTTCTGGCGTGACGATAGGGGCAGGTGTTTGACTGCTTCTTTGGCAGGGTGGTCGTCTTCACTTTGGCGTCGCACAATCGACTGAGGTACGGATGATGGGAAGGATGGTCGTCGCAGTTCATGGATGAATTGGGTGAGTTGCGAGTGCGTTCTTGATGTGTAGTATATCTGATGTAATTCATGTTACTATGGTACCCGGCAACAACAGGGGCACTGCGCACCTTGACTCCGTCCTCGACCTTGTCCTCCTCTTGATCGGCGTTGAGACTTCCCAAGCCGAACCTGGACAGGATGTCTTTTGTCTCTTTGCTCAGACCACTCATGGCGTCGCCGCCATTGGCCGACCCGGCTGCGTCTGGCTCATCAAGCAACCATTCGTCATCCTCCTCAACTTCGAGAGCACGAGGCTTCGATCTCGAGAGGCCATTGTCAAAGCGGCGTCGCTTGGAGCTGCGAGCTTCAATAGCCTTTTCTTTTTGACGGATCTGTTCCAACAACTTCTCTCGCTCTTCCCAGGTGCGGGCGAGTTCATCTCTTTTCCGGCGCAGCATTTGCTCCACAATCCAGTCGGGCTCATCCTTGAAGTCGTCCATGTTGACTTTGAGGGATGCCTCGTGTTCCTCAACACGCTGATTCCGCAACCATGTTAATGAAGCGCAAATGAGCGAAAGCGATTTGCCCTGAAAGAGGTGTTAGCACCTGGGTGTCTAGAAGTGCTGTTGATCGCTTCTCACCGTGCCTGTTGGGCTCTCAAGGATGCCGACCTGTCCATTTCCCTGCTGCAATACGCCATAGGCCGCTTTCATGAAATCAGTCTGCACATCATAGGGTGTGTAAGGATGGTTGAAGTCAATGCCGTCCGGGACAGTCATGTCACTGGGGGCGCTGTCCGCCATGACGAAGTGACATCAGAGATAGGCAAGCAAGCGCCTTGAAGCCCTAGGAGCGAGCTATTACGCGATGAGATACAGGCCTTGGGTACTCCGATTGCAACTAGCATCCAAACATTCGTGGGTACAGTATTTTGAGTGTCAGATCGTCGACGAACGTACACGCATTTGCGGGATGCAAGTGCTCACGGTTGCCAGGTGCATTGGCCAGCATCAAAAGAAAACATACCAATCAAGCTCACCTCGGTGAGGAGGGGGCATGGACCAGTCCAAAGGTCAAGAGCTCGGTGAGCAATGGACTGGGCTGGATGCAGCAGAGTGGGGTCTTGGGAAAAACTGAGAGGAGCAGGCGAGAATGCGATGCTGACATAATACCCTCATTCCTAGTCCAGAGCCAGGGAAACAACCTTAGGGCTGGCTGCCCTCCGCCCCGCCAATTGCCCGAAGCTCTGCCGCCAGCCTGCCACCACCACCATCACAAATTTCCTGCTTGCGAACTTTTTGACAGGAAGTTCCTCAGCGATACTAACCACCAAAGTCGACCACTCCCACAGCCGACGCCATGCCTACCCGATTCTCGCGCACCCGCAAGCAGTACGTCTACCAATCCCGCTCCGCTCCGATTCTATAAATCTGCTCTTTATCCCTCGTCGACGGTATCGCGCGCGCGCAGTCTATTTCGATGGCTTGATACGGCCAGCGAACCGTCGTGAGGGATGGGAAGGATGAAAAAGAAGGAACACATACAATGATGTTTTTTTTTTGGCTTTATGCCATGCAGGCGCGATGGTTCAGAGGGGGTTTAGCATGTTGAAAACAAGGGCGTCAGCATTGCTTCCCCAGGAAAAAGGAGGTCATCATACCAGTTCTGGACTCTTCCCTCTGCGTTGAAACGCGCAGAGATGTGAGGACGGGACTGGCGTGGTACCACCAACTCTGCCATTCTGCGATCCTGGGAGAATTGTCTTCGTTTCCAAATGTACCCGGAAGCTGACTTTCTCTTTTTCTCTGTAGCCGCGGACACGTCTCCGCCGGTCACGGACGTGTTGGCAAGCACCGCAAGCACCCCGGTGGTCGTGGTCTGGCCGGTGGTCAGCACCACCACCGCACTAACCTCGACAAGTACCATCCCGGTATGTTTTCTGTCTCTCCAATGTCATTATGACCGCTTTGCTAACTCGCTCTTCCAGGTTACTTCGGTAAGGTTGGTATGCGTTACTTCCACAAGCAGCAAGCGTATGTTCTCCCGTCCTGATACCCCAAAGATCCCATCTAACATGTTTGCAGCCACTTCTGGAAGCCCGTCATCAACCTGGACAAGCTCTGGACCCTCGTCCCCGCTGAGAAGCGCGAGGAGTACCTCGCCGGCAAGGGCGACAAGGTCCCCGTCATCGACCTCCTCCCCTTCGGCTACTCCAAGGTCCTCGGCAAGGGCCGCCTCCCCGAGGTCCCCATTGTCGTCAAGGCCCGCTGGGTCTCCAAGCTGGCCGAGAAGAAGATCACCGAGGCCGGTGGTGTCGTTGAGCTCGTCGCATAAGTTCAGTCAAATCCAAATCATACCAACTTTTGGACGGATGATGTGCAGCACTCTTTGGGGGGTAAAATACAATGATGGCTACATGAGATAGTCCCGGGTCATCAAGCGGACGGCGTTCTGCGAATGCGTCACCCGCAGCTCAAAAGCTTTGCGGGTGCACGGGAAAAGGGCCAAGGAAAACGGTTCTTCATTTTTACATAATGATCCGACCTCCAAGGAGTTTGACGAATAAAAAAACGAAAGGCTCTTCCAAAATCAAAAAGTTCATGGCTTTGATGATATCCAGGGATCTTATGTTTAGTGGCGTGTCTGGGTTTTCCATAAGGCGGACGGGATACGATTTGAAATGGTATTACTTTTTACGTCTACTCGTCTCGTCTTGTCTTTGTATATGCGTGTTCCGCGTGTCTTATGCCGTTCAACATGATGTATGCTTTTCCCAAGCCCTTGCCTCTCCACCACCTTCAGGCATATACCTACCTCTGTACTCCCAAATCCCATGTGTTCGTCCAGTGTTTATACATATACTTGTCTGACTCCATCAACCATCCATTCCTCACTTAATGTGGCCTAAATCACTCACCATTGGTATCGAAATCTTTCTTTTCCTTTGGTGTCAAAACATTATCATTACGCCTCTAGCATATCCATCTCATCGTCATCGTGATCCACCTCCACCGACTGCTTGGGCTTAGGCTCCCGTAGGAACTCGTGCTCTAACGCATCCTTGGCACTGATGCGTCGCGCAGGATCGAGCTCCATGCATCGCTCTAGGAAATCGACGGCCAGCTTCTCCTCGTCAGTCAGGGGAATGCCAGGCTGACCGTCTTTACCGCCATCGGTGCGGCACGTAGACCAGAGAATGATCTTTCCCAGCGAGAATCCTGCGTTGCCGACGGTGGGAATGTTGGTCTCGAACATGCAGCCGTGGAGCAGGCCAGACTGCTTCATACGCTTGACACCAAAGATGGTGGCGATCTCAATCATGGCCTCGACGTCGTCGGCGCTGTTGAAAAAGGGGAATCGCTTGCTCATGATTGTCAAAAGGATAACCCCGGCTGACCAAATATCGATCTTGGTCGTCTGCTCGGTGCACTTGAAAAGCACCTCGGGGGCACGGAAACCTCTCGTGCCAGCACGGTTCGCCCTTCTGGACGGCCGAGTATCTGTCTTGGGGTAGCCCTGTTGAGGGCCGTTTTGGGATGCCGCGCTGTTGGTGATTCTCTGCTTGCGGACGTCTTTGCTCTCGTGGCAGAGACACGGTTTGCTGTCAGAACCTTCGCGTTCAGCGAGACCAAAGTCGACCAGCACACCGCGTCGCGACTGAGGGTCGTAGAGGAAATTTGTTGGTTTTATATCGCGGTGGAGAATCTTGTGTTCGTGGACAGCCTTGAGGGCGGTGAACAAGCTTCTAAGATAGATGGCCATGTCAGAGACCTTCATCTGGCGGAAGTAATCGCGGAAATCCTCGTGGCGGAAGTAGGGCAGTATAGCAATGACCTGGTCAGTGGACCGAAAAGCCGTGATCAGGGGGCAAACGGCGGCACAGTTTCTCAAGTCGTGGAGGAGCTCGAGCTCGTTGAGGATGCGGTTGGGGCTCGAGGTGACATAGATCTTTTTGATGGCGACGTATCGGGCGCGGCGACGTTCGCGAGTTACTGAGGTGTTGCTGGCGTTGGGCTTCAGAGGCGGGGATGTCCACTTTGCAGCGAGATTGTCCTTCTCTTCGAGATCCCAGCTGTTATCATAGAATTCGTATTGGAGGTCTTCTGCCTTGTAGACTGTCGAGAAGGTGCCTGCAGAGGGGAGCGGGGGTGTTAGTGAGAAACAACAGGCGGGGAGGGCGACATGAGAGTGACATACCTTCACCGATCCTCTTGATTAGGCGATATCTTTGGGGGAAACCGGGAAAGGTATCTTGTAAACGGTCCATGTCGCGTTGGACACCCGTGTCGACTACCTCGTCTTCATCGGAGCTCTCGTCGGAAGGATCCTCAGCCTCGACCTCGTCCTCCTCGTCCTCGACCTCTTCAGTGTGTTGTTCGGACTCGGCCATCATCTCGGTGTCTTCTGTGCGTGCGTGCGGGGGATCTTGGTGGATTTCAAAGTCGTCACGACTGCGTTTGCGCGTGGCAGTGGCAGTGGCCATGGAGTGCTGCTGTGGTCTCGATTCTGCGGTCATGGGGCGGTGGGCCAATCGCACGTCTGCCGGGGCGGTAGAGGTGAGTGCCGGGGCATGGAAGGGAGAGGGGGCGCGTGTATGGTTCGAGACAGTGTCTAGGGCTGGGACTGTCGTTGAAGAAGCTTGGTATGTCTGTGGGTGATGGGTACGTGATTGAGTTTGGTGGTGGTGGTGGTGGTGTTGAGAGTTTTGCTGCAGAAAGCTTTGGTGTTGTTGATGTGGTGGTTGTGATTGTGTTTGTGGTGGTGGTGGAGGAGGAAGAGGAGGAGCGTGGTGTGTCTGGCGGCTTTGGTGTTGTGGCGGCGGTGTTGGCGTTGGTGTTGTTGCCCAATCGTGCCGGTGCCAGGCCTGGACGTCGAGGGTCTGGCCAAAGCGAGTCAATTGATCGATGGCATCCAGGTTGGGTTGAGTGAGGCCAGCTGAGGAATCTCGCTGGGTCGTACACTGCGTCATCCGAGGCTGTTGTGGAAGGGAATTGAGAGAATGGTTTGTTGTATTATTCGGTAGAGTTTGGACAGCAGTCGACTTCTTTGCTGTTCAAACGAATCGGTACGGCGACGTAGGTATAGCGAGGTAGAGGTACCTGAGGTCGGTCCTGAGATAGGTAGGTGCTCTGCAGTCTGCAGCTGCGGCGTACAAGGCAAGGACTGTGATGTACGGTGAGGTGTCTGGGTGTCTTGGGAGGTGAACAAGGGTATAATTGGACGCTTCTTGTTTTTTTGAATTTCTTTTTCTTTGCATCTGGCAGCAGGTGAGCAGGTGAATAGATGAAGGTGGGAATCTTTTGGGATTTCTTTTGGTCTGGTGCGTCCCATCTGATGCACGTTGGCGGGCTCTTTTTTCTCTCTGGGCTCTCTTCGCATTCGTCCTTTTGCGGCTTGCCCCGAATACAAGTAAGGTACCTAGGTATCTACCACCTAAAAGGTACATCGCGGGTGGTCCCAGGATGAGCCCCGAATGGACCCAAATGGCACCAAACAGGAGCAATGGAGGGGCATAGCGGCCGTGGTCAGTGTGATGGTCCCCTGAAAAACAGTCCGCTGACCAATCATCTCGCTTATTTTGACCCCGCACCTCAGAAAAAAGTGACTTCCCCCCCAAGAAGTGGCAGATGGAACTGCCAGACACTGCCGGTCGCGTCGAAGCGCAAAAGAAAACAATAAACAAACTCCCACTTGGTTGCTAGGCGCATTCATCCCCTCCACTCTCCTCCCATCTGCAAATTAATTACCTACTTACAGAGTAGAGTACACTGACGGATTACACACCTAAGCAAGGCAAAAACACATCGTCAACATCACAGGCCGTTTTTTGCGCTTCCTTCGCCTTCTTTCGCTTCCTCTTTTGGCGCTGTGCATTACTAACCCACCAGCAACTTGCAACACCACATCAGGCCACACGAGAACACCACGGCTGGCCACAGACACCGACTGACCCTGACCTTGACCCCTCCTCTCGTTCTATTTCGTCCTTTTGATTTCCATCTTCTTTCCCCTCCTCCCCGCCTCTCGATCGCGTTACGTCGCTGGGTGCGCACACCTCGACTAGACCGCAGCCATGGACTCGGTCGCATTCGATATCAACGATGCGCTCAAGCATTATATGAGCGATCCCGCCAGTATTCCAACCCCAGAAGCCGATGGCTCACTCTTCGACTACGAAAATGATCCCGAAGGCCTTACCGCCGCTGTCATCAACCCGGTTCTCAACCCCATCGTTGATGCCGTTGCCGAGAACCCCGAGGCCATCACCCGCAGTGCCCATCTCGACTCACTGCAGTTCCTCCTAAAGTGCGCACCCGTCTCCCCTCATCCTTCAGATCCCTCTCTTTTGTTGTCCTCCTTTTCCTCTTCGTCTTCTACTTCCAGGTCCCGTAAAGAACGCCATTCTGAGCTCCTCAACTCCTCTAGGTACACCGCCTTCCTCCCGCCACAGGTTCTTAGCAAGATCTTCGACTTGATCATGTCAGGTCTGGCAGCCGAGGGTGATGCGATAAACCACGACCTCGAGTCTCCCGACGAACAGGAGACACTCGCCCACCACAAGCAGCTTCTCGAGATCTACGGCTTCCTCTTGCAGTGGACCATCGCCGCTGTCGAGACAAAGGCCGCCGAAAAGTCCTCAACAGCACCAGTCGCAAGAGGTCGCGGCAAGCCAAAGAAGAATGCGCCAAGAGACAAGGACGGCGTATGGGACTCGGCCACCCAACTGCAGTCTGCTCTTGACATCATGAGCAAAGTCCTCAAGCTTAAGCTAACCAAGATCTTCCTCACAACCTCCGAAAGGGATACCTTCATCGGCCTGTTGACCCGACCCGTCTACATGGTCCTCGAGAGCGAACAGCGCGTCAAGAGCACATCCATCCGCATGCACGCATTCAAGGTGCTCTGCATCGCCGTCAAGCACCACGGCCACGCATACGGTTCGTCGTTCCCTGCCGCGCTTTCTTGCGCACTCATGCTAACTCCCAACAGCCGCCCAGATCTCCATCGTCCAGAACCTCACATACTTCGAGCACCTTTCCGAGCCCATGGCTGAGTTCCTCCACATCCTCGCCGAGACCTACGACTACCCACAGCTTGCCGATGAAATCCTCCGCGAACTCAGTAACAAGGAGTTCAACTCCAACGACACCAAGGGACCCAAGTCTGTCTCGCAGTTCATCGTCAAGCTCTCTGAGCTAGCCCCCAGACTGGTCATCAAGCAAATGACCATGCTTGCAAAACAATTAGACAGCGAGGTAATTTCCTCCCCATTCGCACGCCAGTGGAGCGTTGCTAACCAAATCTCAAAGTCTTACACGCTACGCTGCTCTCTAATCGAGGTCTGCGGAAACATGGTTGCCCACCTGGTCAAGCAGGACGAGCGCGGCGAGAACCACAAGTCTCAACTCAACGCCTTCTTCGACGTCTTGGAAGAGCGCTTCCTCGATATCAACCCCTATTGCAGATGTAGAGCCATCCAAGTCTACGTCAAGCTATGCGACCTCGAACAAAAGTTCCCCAAGCGACGACAACGCGCTGCCGAAATGGCGTGCCGCAGCCTCGAAGACAAGAGCAGTCACGTCAGGAGGAACGCCATTAAGCTTCTGGGTGCTCTTATCAAGACACACCCCTTCACAGTTATGCACGGCGCTCAGCTTTCCCGCAAGGAGTGGCAGGCGCGTCTTGACAAGGTTGACGAGGAGTTGAATGCGCTCCAGCCGCCCGAAGGCGCACCAGGGCTCGGCGAAGGTGCCGACACCACTGTTGATCAGCAACTGCTTGACGATGCGACACAGATTGAGCAGTCGCCCCAGAAGCCCGCGCCCATGTCCGACGAGCAAAAGTTCGAGGCCGTCCGCAAGGCCCGCGAAGAGGCCGCCACATCCGAGGCCATCGAGAAGCTTACCCTTACCAAGCGTTACTACTCCGAGGCCTTGAAGTTCATCGACGTCCTTCACGAAGCTACCGGCACTGTCTGCCAGCTTCTGGGCTCACGCAACAAGAGCGAGGTCATCGAGGCCATGGACTACTTTGAAGTTGGTGACGCCTACAACATTGAGCAGAACAAGGTCGGCATCCGACGCATGTTGCGTCTCATCTGGACCAAGGGCAACAGTGATGAGGGCAAGGGTGTTCAGAGCCATCTCATTGATGTCTACAAGCGTCTGTTCTTCGAGGCACCCGACTCCTTTACCTCAAATGATGCGGCCAACTTCATCGCCCGCAACATGATCAGTCTGACATTTGGCGCGACTCCCGCCGAGTTGACATCGCTGGAGCAACTCCTCAGCACCATGATGAAGCAAGGCCTGGTTCCCGAAATTGTTATTGCCAAGCTCTGGCAGGTTTACGGCGTGCAAAAGCGCGAGATTTCTAGGACGCAACGTCGCGGTGCCATCATTGTGCTTGGTATGCTGGCGACTGCCAACCCCGAGATTGTTGTTGGAGAGATGGAAACTATGCTGCGCACTGGTCTAGGGTCCCATGGCCGCGCTGACCTCCAGCTGGCTAAGTACACTTGCATTGCCCTTCGTCGAATCAACCCTACTGGTCGTCAAGCAAAGGAGTCTACCGTAAAGTTCTCTAGACTGCCGAATGACCACGCTGTCTTGTCAAAGCTGGCTTCCATTACCGAGGTCCCATCTGAGAGCAAGGAGTGGTATGGTGTCGCTGAGCAGGCCATCAACGCGATATACGCCATCTCTAAGCACCCTGATACTCTCTGCTCCGATATCATTCGCCACAAGACAAAGCAAGTCTTTGCCGCTCCCCGGTCACGCTCAGCGTCGCAAGCAAGCTCCCAGCCTAGCTCCCGCCCAGTCTCACGAGACGAGGCCGACTCCGTTTCTGTCGACGAGGATGGTAACGAGACAATTGTTGCTCCGGCACCTCAGCCAAAGAAGCGAGACGCGGCTGTCGGCTTATCCCAGCTTCTTTTCATCGTTGGCCATGTTGCCATTAAGCAGATTGTGCACCTTGAACTCTGCGAGCTCGATTTCAAGCGCCGTAAGCAGGAGCAGGAGAAGGAGAAGACCGCAGACAAGTCCACGGCTCAGGCGGGCAAGAAGGACGAGCCCGATGACCTGGACTTGATTGGTGGCACGACTGAAGATGATTTTACCGAAGCCATGGCGCACATTCGTGAGCGGGAGCTTTTGTTTGGGCCCGAGTCTCTGTTGGCACAATTTGGACCTCTAGTGTCTGAAATCTGCGCCAACAACACCACGTATGCCGACAAGGGACTGCAGGCCGCCGCAACTCTTTGCTTGGCCAAGCTCATGTGCGTTAGCTCGGAATACTGCGAGGCCAACCTCCCCCTCCTCATCACCATCATGGAGCGCTCAGCCGACGCTACAGTTCGTTCCAACGCCGTCATCGCTCTCGGCGACATGGCTGTGTGCTTCAACCACCTCATCGACGAGAACACCGACTTCCTGTACCGTCGTCTTGCGGACAAGGACCAGTCTGTTAAACGCACATGCTTGATGACGCTCACGTTCCTCATTCTGGCCGGTCAAGTCAAGGTTAAGGGTCAGCTGGGCGAGATGGCCAAGTGCCTTGAGGATGAGGACCGTCGCATCGCTGATCTGGCGAGGATGTTCTTCACCGAGCTCAGCACCAAGGATAATGCCGTCTACAACCACTTTGTCGACATGTTTTCCCTGCTGTCTGCCGAGAAGGGCCTGGAGGAGGAGAGTTTCCGGAGAATCATCCGGTTCCTCCTGGGCTTTGTCGAGAAGGACAAGCACGCCAAGCAGCTGGCCGAGAAGCTCGCCGCCAGGCTTACGCGCTGCGAAACAGAGCGCCAATGGAACGATGTTGCCTTTGCTCTTGGGCTGTTGCAGCACAAGAACGAGGACATTACCAAGACTGTCTCCGAGGGCTTCAGGGTTGTTCAGCTCCAGGCATAAAGGGGAGTGGCAGAGATGTTGCGGGCTGGCCTTGTGGTCGTGTAGTACTAAGGTCATGGGTCGGCGTTGGGGGTTTTGCTGCTTCTGGTCGTTGGTTGGCTGTCTGACTTTGGGTATACCACTGCATGGATGATGAGACTTTACTTAATGATGCTGATGAATCGATTACTTGTTCACTTTAACATATGTTGATGATGGCTTGATGGTGACTATTACTATTGATGCCGTTCGTCCATCTTGGTGTTACATACACGCTCGACTGGACGTCTCAAGCCAGCAATCCTGCGCCCAAAGGTTCCTGCGTAAGCACAAACGCATCCCCTCCATTAACCTCAAACTGAGTCCCATTCTTGACAATTCCATCCACCCGGATAACAGACTTTTCAAGGCTCGTCACCAACGGCTCCGGCAGGTATATCGTCCCCTTGCTCCCAGCAGGACTCCCAACCTCCATCCTCAATATCCCGCCCTCGAATCTCCAGTCAACAACAATATCTCCACGCACAGTCGGATACCGTCCCTTAGCCCACTCCAGCCCCAACGTCTGCGGCTCAACCTTCCACTCCGCGAACCCGGGCGCAGTAGGCTGGATGCCCAAAACATACCGACTTAATTCCGCCGTTGGGCCTGCAGCCCAGCCGTGACAGAGGGAGGTCACGACGCCTAGACCGGGTGTGCCGTCTGGGTTCAGCGTCTCCCAGAAGCAGCCTGTGTAATTATCGCGTTGGGGGTCGGCCATGGGTGCCCAGAGGGTCTTAAGGAGGGTCATTGCTGTGGATGCGTCACGGGCGGAGAATGCAGCGCGGAGGTGGTATGATGATGCATAAGGGCTGATTTTCTGCGCGAAGCCGGCGGATGTGGTGGAATTTGAGAAGGCTAGGGGGCCGGCCGGGAGGATGAGATCTCTTGCGAGGGTTGAGAGGACCGAGGCGGTGGTGTTGGGCGAGGAGGGAACACCGGCTAGGATGGCGAGGGCGTTTGCGTCCTGTGCGAAGCCGGTTGTCAAGGTTGAGGAGAGGGCGTAGGCGTTTAGGTCTGGGTTCCAGAGGTTCGTGTTGATTGCTGACTGGAGGCTATCGAGGCGGGTTTGGTAGACTGTGGTGTTGAGACCTGCGTCTCGGAGGAGGGGGAGGGATTGTTGGAGGGCGTAGGCGTAGACTACGTTGAACTTTGTGACTACACCGGATTGCGGTGTGTCGTAGTAGTTCCAGTCGCCGCCAAAGGACTCGTCTGCGAGGTTGAAGAGGCCGTTGGAGAGGGTTTGGGAATCGGCCCAGTCGAGCATTCTGGAGACCTTTGGAGCCCACTGCTTTGCGAAAGTGAGGTTTCCTCTCATCTCGTAGTTCTGGGCGAGGGCGCTGAGGAAGTTGAAGGAGTAGCCGATGAGTCCTGTGAGGTTTGTATTCAGGGGTTCTCCCAGGGGTGCTTGCTGGATCTTGGCGGTGGGGATGAAGAAGCCTGGTGTAGCTTGGTAGGAACCCAGGAGGTCTAGAGAGCCGTCGATGAAGGACGTGCCAAAGGTGCTTGCGAAGGCGGCGCCGAGGGCGACGTCGAGGTCGCCCGTGTAGGCGATTCTGTCGCGGCGGGAGCCGTCTACGATTGTGTCGGCCGGGTTTGCGCCCATCATGAAGTCTGGGAGGAAGGAAGGGGATGTGAGCGGGTTCGTGTAGATGGTCTCGCCGGTGGGTGTGCTGGCGGTAAGGTTGCGGAAGTAGGCTGCGTGTCCGAAGGAGGCTCCGAACCCAAAGGACCCGAAGTAGCGGGAGGTTTGGGTAAGATTGAGAACAGGGAGGTTGTCGAGAGTTACGGCGACGGATTTCATTGCTACGTCGATGTGGACTGCGTGCCAGGTTTCAAGAGTGGTGGTAGCGGGTAAGGGAGATGTTGCGAGGAGGGTGTCTAGGCTTGTTGAGCCGGCGTGGGCTGTGATGGTGTGGCTGTCTAAGTTGAAGGAGAGGTAGACGCAGTTGTTGAGCGTGTCACATTGGACAGAGACCCCGAAGCCGCCTTTAACGGGTTTGGCTTGGAGATCGAGACGGTAATTGAGGAGTTGAGCGGCCATGGCACCAGCGAGTGCTTGCGGTGCTTGGCTCTCGGCGTACGCGCCTTCGTCTGAGACTTGAAGGAAGTCAGGGATGGACTTCTTGGGAATCTCGGTATGTTGGACTGTTCGCGCGCCAGTTGTCCAGATGCGTGTGAGATCTTCATCGGAGCATTCGAAGGATCCAGGGAGCTTCGTCACGGGTGTGGTGGATGTCGTGGGCTTGACGCCGATGTTGCGGAGTTGAAGGGAGCCGGCGGACGACAGGTTGAGTTTCTGGTAGCGGAAAGCGCCTTGGATGAGACGGTTTGTGATGATCGAGGGGGCGGTGATGTTGTATTGGTTCACTCTGTAGGTATCCATTGCCGCCGCAAGAGGTAGAGGACCATCGCTCTGTTTCTTATTAGTTATCTTTCGTTCCCAGACTCAAGGGTACTGATGGGAGCAAGCTATTCACCATGTATGAGTCAAGCGCGGATCTGCTTTCTGCAAAGGAAATCTCGAAGCTCGAGGTATCACCAGAGGTAGAGATGACCTCGAATGTAGGGAAGCCTTCAACATTGTGGCCATAGTCGAGGATCACGATAGAAGCAGTTGTCCCATCGGATGTGAGGGCTGTAGTCTCGTTTGAGCCGAAGACGACGGTTCCATTGGTGGACGAGCTTGAAGCTGACTTCTGAGCAAGATGGTGTCTCCGGGACCCATGCCGACCATCGGCTGAGCTCAATAGGCAGAAAATAATACCAGCTAGCCGGGCTCCTGTATTAGATGACATCAGCATGGCTGTGGTGTTATATGAGCTGAATGGAAAATGAAAAGGAGTGACAAAGGTGAGGCAAGCGAACGTGTTGCTAGAGTGAGAGACAGAATGCAATGAAGGCGATCAAATACCTTAGCGTTATATAAACGTCTTCTCTTCAATGGCTTTGAATATCCCCAGATTTTATGCCGTACTCGTCGTCCCTGATTCGACTTTGCACATGAACCAAGCCGGAGTTGACGATCTTGAGTGGATTCACCCGAGAAACGCGAGGGCCTCGGACTCGACTTTGGTACACTGACCGAATACGCGGACCGAGGCCAGTGGCTAGAGTGTGAAAGTTACGAGAAGACTGCGGAGCTTTGTGTGGCTTGGTCTTCTTCTTAGTTGGTCAAGTATGGAGCCTCAGCAATAGCTGCGAAGGTATGAATAGCTCGCCAGTGCTCTTTCATTTGGTAGATTCAGGCCAACCCCTCGGAGCTGACCCGCCATCACCAGAAACGAAGATTCCACCGCTCTCCAGCTAGACGTCATGGTTAAATTTTGCCTTTTGGATTAGAAGTTCATCTGAATTTGGCATGCCTGATTGTTCCTACACCTCACAAGGAATTGCCGACGACTCTTCCTACTTCTATCTTCCTAGCCAGGGCTATTTCCATTCCACAGACTTCGCTACTTCAATCACAATCGGTGTGTGCAGCTTAGTGCTAATCATCTACCAGAGTTCGCCAGATCTTGACTAAGAAATTCCCTTCAATTCGAAACTCTCAATAAGCTTAGGGCCATGAGAGTGGGAATCGGCACCATTTGCCGTGTCTCCGGCGTTTCCAACTTGAGATGACGGAGCGGCTCGGGGGCTTGGACCCACACCGCCGGTCGAGCTATCGGTGACTTTCAAGGCCTTAAATTCCTTCCTCAGTTTACTCTAATTTTTGAAGACTCCTGGGAAAAACTCGCTTTAGCCAACATCCCCATGAGGTGCCGTGGTGCTGTTTGTAAGATGATTATTAAAGTCATAAGCTTTCTTCTATGCCGAATCTAAGAACCTCCGCTCCGTCCAAAATATTTATGGGTGATAGCTACACTACACCATGCGATCCAACGTCCTCTCACGCGAGCCATTCGCCAACAACTGGGGCACCTCTTGTTTAATAGCGTACTCCCACTAATAGAGCCGGAGGGCAGTCAACTGCACGCCCTCGGGGCTAGCCAGCCTGGTGATAGCTCACTACAGACTGGCCAGCGTTGTCTTTACGGGTAAACCGAGGACGGCGACATTCATAGCAAAACTAACCCATCATGAGAGAACAACAAATCGTACTGACATTTCTTCTCGCTCACGATCAAGTTGACTTGACATTATGCTTTACCAACCTCTCTGGATGAACCATTTACGACAGCGGGGTCTATCAATTCTTTGCGGGAGAAACACACTCGAATGACCCCTCAAAGCAGGTAGGTTGAATCCAGAACTTCGGGCGCAGTAGAAGTGCCACTCTCTTTCTCACGTGTTTCATGTGATGTCTTTGGACTGCTTACAGAGTACGCGTGTATCTACGAGCCTCATAAAGCCAATTGACCAGCTCAAGCTTGGTTGAATGAGTTTGAACCACTTCGCCAATCTACTTGGTCTCGAGCGACTCCCCTCAACAAAGCTCTAAGGTGTCTCGCAGCAAGTCAAACGATTAAAAGAGATCTTGAACGCAACAGAGGTTTGACTTGCCACCGAACTGGTGCCCGGTACCTCATCAGCCTTGGCTGCATATATCCTTTTCAGCTACCGAAGAATATCTTATAGTATTCTTCCCATTGGCACGTTACGTTACAATAATCGTGCAAGCATTGGTGGTCGTACAACTAGATAGGCCTACTCTCTGCCCAACGTGTGGCGATCGCTGCGTGCTCGTCCTTAACAAGTGCAAAAATGTGTCGATTGCCTCACTTTCACGCATAGAACCACGCCCTCCAGCCGAAAATATCCAATAACATACACCGAGCCCCGCTTTTACCTCGAACGAACCCAAAAGCTGCACAGATGAGACAGCTCTCAGGTACGGGGAGTGCTGTTAAATACTGAGGGGTAGCTCTCTACACGTGGACAGACTGCGGTGGACGCGACAGGACGTAGTATGCCAAATCACATGGCTACTACATCTGCAGTGATTGAGGCCTCGTCGCCCGCATTTTTGACACCTAATACAGGATGTCACAGCTCAAATCGCTTGGCCTTTCACTGCAATCTTAACTCCCCTCGACGGCTTCACATTTTACAGCAAGGAATAGCTCGCTGTGGGCCATGTTTATACACTTCGATTTTGTTTCCTACCAAGGACTACGGAAAGGCTCGCTCGTCAGCCTGCAGGCCAGGCCAACACTCTCGACCAATGGCCACGTTGGTGGCAAGCGGTCTGCAGGCAGAGTAACGGGCGAAAGTTCACTGCAATTTAGACTCATCTCGAGGAATCGCAGACGCATAGGATAGCCATTTATTACTTTGTGCTTGACCCAGTTTGCCTGAATTACTGGTACCACAACGACTCACTTCATGCACCCGACAACTGAAGCCGTTGACGTGACCTTCGACCTGGAAGTTTATTTCTTGTTTGGTAGAAACGTGCCGATCAAAAGCGTAGGAAGTGATGAGGCCCAATCAGTAGCTCGCAGGATGATTGAACAAGTCGGCTTGATTCTCTCTATCCCGAAAAGTATCATATATACGCGTATCCGGATGCGGCCAACATGGAGAAGCGCCGAAACTCGACTGGTTGTGGGGATGCAGCTCAGTAATTTGCCTGTTCAAGATCGCGTAACGCAGGCTCAAAGTTTCACAAGAGAGTGAGCTTTAAGCCTTCTTCGGGCTCTATGCCGGGTGTACGGAGACCCGCTCGGCCCGGTGCGGTGCATTACATGGGCGGGTGAAGCCCGGGCCTAATCCCGGCGCAGGATTGTGAGGGAAACAACCTCCAACACTCTCGTAAGCTTGAGAAACTCAGAGGCAGTGAGCGGATGGGCAGTGATAATTGAGCAGGTAGGAAGAATTTTGGTGTGGTTATTGTGGGCTATCGGTAACAGTCATTGTCATTTAGGCATGTGGTAAACTGCAATTTCACCTGCCATGCTAGTTGGTCTCTATCTACAGTGGCTAGTACAACTCAATCCCAAAGTTTAATCGTATTGGCGACCCTGTCTCGACGGACTTCGGCTAATGAGCACACCGTGCCGACTAAACACAGGCTGCACACAGAGTACTTTAGTTACGGCCTCCCAATAACTTGCACGCAATGTACGCCGCTTATTGTGAGTTAAAAACGCCATCTATGATCGGCCGAGGTGTCGTCAACGACCGATCAATACTAAGTAACTCAACATGTCCTCGCAACTTTCGTTTACAATATTAATCGTTGGAGCGGGGCCATCCGGAAACACGGCAGCGGCGGCACTGGCTTCTGACGGGCACCAGGTGACCGTACTCGAACGCGGCTCTCGACTTCAAACACGGGGAGGGAATCTCATCGTACAACCTTCCGCTGTGAAATGCCTGAGCCTGATTGGCATCACAGAATCTCTGGACAAGGTGGCTGTGGAAACCGTCAGTGACATCCTTTGGAGATATAAGGACGATGAGCCGTTCACAGTCACAAAGGCAATTCCCACTGGGACGGTCCGGAAGCCTACCGATAGGCCATCACTGCAGCGAATAACCTACGATGCTGCCATTGCCGCAGGAGCCAGCTATCTATTCAACAAGAACGTTGCCCAAATTATTGAGGAGAAAAGTGGCAAACTTCGCGTGGTGATGGAGGATGGTAGCGATTACGAGGCTGATTTTGTTGTTGGCGCTGATGGCATCAAGTCACGCGTCCGGGAGCTCATGTTCCCCGGACAAAACGTGGATGCCACAGTAACAACCGAATGCATATTTCAGACAGAGGTTGATATCGCTAGCGTGCAGAACGACCCAGTCGCCGCTCCGCTTGGCGCTTGCTCGCACCATCTCATGTTCGGTCCCGGGCTTTACTGCGTCGGTCGGCCGACTGCTCATGGTACCGTTCGCATCCTTCTATGCAGTCTGCATTACGGGTTTCCGTCCGCCGACGCGGATCTGGGTGGAAACTGGAACTCGGATGGTAACCCTGAAGAGATCCGCGAAATGTTCAAAGGGTTCGGGGCGCCGCTGCGTGCCTACATCGAATGTGTAATACGTGGGGGTTACCCTATCGACAAGTGGCACATTGCCACAGCACCAAAGATAGAGACCTGGTTAGGATTTGACGGACGATGTCTTCTTCTAGGGGATGCTGCGCATGCCATGTTGCCGCATACTGCCCAAGGGGTGAGCCAAGGCATCGAGGACGGCTTGGCCCTCAGGACAGCCCTTCGCTGGTGTGACAGTCGAGACAAACTGGCTGCTACTCTGAAGAAATGGGAGGCTCTTAGAAAGCCACGCGCTGAAAAGATGTTTGATGTCGGCCACGAGAACATTGTCTTGTTCACCCTTCCTGATGGGCCAGAGCAAGAAGCGAGGGATGAGAAACTCCTAACTGGGGGTTTCACTGGTCACCCAACGGACTGGGAAAGCATTGAAATGGACGCGAATGCTCCAACTAGAACGCCGCAATTCACAAAATGGGCCATGTGCTACGATGTGGTTGCAGAGGTAAGTGGCAGTTCTACATTTTCCATGTCCTGGTGTTGAGGATATTATATTGACACGAAGTCTTGCTAGACCAACAAAATACTTACCACGGACCGCAGCTCTTGAAAGGCGGTGTTCAAAGCAAGCCAGAGGATGAATAAAAGTTTCTCAAGCGAGATTCCGTTAGCCGTGCTGAAGGCGCCATGGACGAGGAAACGCTTTCCGAGAAGCCAAGTAACACGACGATTGAACCCCTTAATGCGCATTCAGCTGGTATTACTGTATTCAGGTGGTAATAGAAAACCATGAGGCCTGTTCTGCTTACTTTGTGCCGCCGATTGAATCGATGAAGGGTTATTGAGTATCTGTTGCCTTGACATGGCTATCTTGACCAAGACCCTCGCTTTCTTCACCATCATAAGCCGGATTGAAATGCCTTTGTGAAGTTCGACATAAACCAGAAACACTCCTCCTTGTTTTTCTAAAAATCGCTGCTTAACATAGCTGGTTTCAGAGATAAGAAGTGCTTTCAGCTAGGAGCGACAGCAGTGGATTCTGCCTGTCACTTCAACGATCTTTACGACCACCCAAACAACTATCATCTACTTCTCCCTATACGCTCCTGAACGCTTTACGACTACAATGTCTAGCTTTACTCTGACTATCTTTAACTTCTAGGTTGTTGCGTTTACTGTAATCGGCTCCATCGCCCACCACTACGGTCTTGTAATCATGGGGCAAGTTTAGGTCCTGCATATCTAGCTTGTAGAGAGCTCTTACTATTCTCTTTGCTGGCATCAACTCGCTGACGTCGTTGAACCATAGGTGTCCTAGGGCAGCCTTCTTTCATGCATTCTTGAACCTGGCACCACCAGGTATCCTGGATTGTTTCCGACTTGTACTGTGTCCAATCATTTGGACAACCGCCTCATTCCATCATGTTCGCCTCTTTTCGTTCACTGCAATCTTAACTCCCCCCGAGCGCTCGAGGGTCAACGAGACGCCAAATCAAAGCCCAGCATTACTCGCAGAGCTGCAGCCAGGACAGGGATCACTCTCTACACTGCAATCTTAGCTGCCCCCGTTGGCTCTAAGTACAGCAGGAAACATACCACAGGTAACCTGTCCTGGAGTATGTTTTTACACTTCGTCTCTTGCCAAGGGCCACAAAGAGACGCAGCCGTCAGCCTGCATGATGAAATGTGTGGGTGATCCGCCTAAGTTCTTTCACTGCAACTTTTAACTCCTCTCAAGGGATCAGAGGTTGGCCCAAACCCCCTCAAGTAAGGCTCCTCTTAGAACCCGATTCCCTCTGCAATCTTCGAGAGGCATACTGCACACAGGGAGGCATGACCCCAAGGCAGTAACGTCGTTCTTCTATCTCACCAGAGGCATACCAACCAGATACCATGAGGCAGCCTAGGACTCGCTGGAAGAATCAGCATGATTGAACAAGTCGTCTTGATTCTCTCCATCCCGAAAAGTATCATATACACACGCCAGCGTTCTGCCAGCTTCTTTTGCCCCAACCCATCTTGCTCCCCAACATCTCCCCTCCAACCCTTGCTCTCTTCCGCCAGGTAAAAGTATGGAAATCTAGTTCTTGCTTTGCGGCGCAAGGGCAAAGGTAGGACGAACGAATCTGTGACATCAATTAGCCATCTTCCTCCAAATCCCAATAGACTCTCTTCTCCACCGGGCAATATTCGGCCACAGGGAAGGGATGTATCAACATACCTCTCGTTGTGGTAGACCTTGGTGTTCTCGCCCAACAGCTCCTTCTCTCTCGCCTGGTCGGCGTACCACCTACGAACCTGGTCGCGGTCCTCCTCGGCTTGGAGGAGGGGGATAAGGTGAATGCGCGCCCACATCTTCTCTCTCGCCAGCTCGCTGTGTCTTGTCAGCACTGTCCTCCTCAAAACCACGTGTCCCGTCTGATTGCTCCATTCCTCCCTAGGTGTATGTTCGTCGTTGCGTGCCTCTGGTGTCCATGCCTGCTGCCTCCCGTTGAGCAGTGCAGCATCTGTCTACCAGACCACTCGCAACTTTGTCCAATATCCGCCAGAAGAGGAGTAGCAATCGTCATGGCGGGGGCGAAGGGATTGTCACGTACTTGGCTTCCCGGATACCCTTGGTCAACTGATACCATCCGTATCCCATCACCAGTCCCATACCGATCAACATTGTGCCGGGGCGGAATCCACGGGCGGGCAAGTTGCGCTGTTTCCAATAATCAGCATGGTTCCTCCAGAAATCTATGGCTGCCCTTCGTCCCCATGTTCGTGGTCCTGAGTCCAAAGTGTCCCTGATCCCGAGTCCGAGTGTCCCTGGCCTAGCACCCTCTCATCGTCTCAGTTCGGTGTCCTCGGTCGGAGTGCCAATTCGATAGTCGATAGCGCTCAGTATTCCCGTATCTCAAATGCCTCCTCTTGCCATGTTGCTGCTCCCATAGCCAACCCGCTCGACCCGATCGTCCCTTCTCAATTCCTCCTCTTGCGACTCCCTCACCCTCCACGCACTCTCCCTCAATTTCTCCACCACGCCATAATCACTCACCTTGTACTGCACAGCCTGGTAACCCCCCACGGGCGGCATATCCTGAGGCATCCTGTCTCAATCGTTTCCTACCGACCCAACGCGGTCGGCTGCGCTCGTCTAGAGTGTGTATAAAGTGTCGTCGGGCGACTTTTGTCGGTCAATTGCCCCTTCGATGGATGGAGTCAATCGATTGCGTGTCGAACAAACAATCGTTTCGTTCGAGAGATCGGGAGGGGGTATCGGTGTCGATTCGACGGGGGTGTGTGGGTTGCGAGGCGATATGGTGGTCGTCGAGCTCGAGATTCGGGGACAAGCTTTGGCCTGGGGTGCCTGAGGTGATTGTTTTCAGGTCGATGATGATTCGCTCAATTGGCAAACCGCTTATGTAAGGCACATTGTGGATCCGTTTTCTCATCTTCACCGAGGTGTACTCCCCCTTTGATTTCGGCGAGGAATTGGAGCATGATTGAGAACTGTACATTGTCACTCAGCTTTAAAGAGATGTTGTTGAAATTGAGTCATAGAATAGGTCATAAATCTCAAGTGGCTAGATATGCACCGACCCAACACCTGATCGTCTATTCACCAACCGCCCCAACAAGCAGTACTGCACTTTGAATCCTACAAATATTTGCACATCTCAACTCCATGCCATGCTTCGCCAACGGAAAGGCTGGGGTATAAACCGAATGAACCATAGCCAACCAACTTTTTCTTTCTCACGTTCTTCCTGGTGGTCTTGCTCACTTTCGCGGCCTTCCCCTTTCTTAGCTCCTCCTTATATGCATCATGCCCCTCACTGTACGGCGGTAGGGATCACTAGTCCTCTCCAGCGGCAGCGAGCTCGGCCTCAAGGTCTGCCTCGAGATCGTCCTCGTCAAAGTCGTCAACTCCATTCGCCGCGACGTTGTCCGGTATGAGCGCAACGTCCTCCTCATCGCCAGTAACTTGAGGAGTAGGCAGGCTGCTCGACTCGTTATTGTCCTCGACGTTGGGAGTCCGTACTGAGCTCAACTTGGAAGCACCGCGGCTCTTGGCAATGCGTTGCTTCTTGGACAGTGCACTTCCACCTTCGTCGGAAGCCGTGTCATCGTCCATGGCTTTCCTCTTGGTACCGCCACTGGCCGCATTCGCAGACTCTTGGGATGAGGGCAGGTCCTCGCCAGCATCGGTATCGCCACTACGGCTTTCCGTATCGGCATCCGAGCTGTCGTCGTCGCTTCCGAGGAACTCCTTCATCTCGTCATCGACACCTTCCCAGTCAAACGACTTCAAGCCGTCTATCGGGCTGACTTGACCGTCCTCAAACTCGAGCATCATGTTCTCTTCATCGCCGTCCTGATCGCCTTCGTCTTCGTCCGAGGCATCATCATCTTCCTCGAGTACGCGTTGCTCGCCCGTTTCGTCAATAATTGTCAAGTGCGGCCGTGCATCATCGCCATCGGCGTCCGAAATTGTGTCCGCGTCGGTCGACTCGGACATGGCTAGCTGACGGCGGTCTGCTGGATGGACCTCGACCAGGTAGGGCGCTTCGTCGACACGCTGCCATTGACTGAGGCAATCAGACAGCCAATTTTGGCTGACAATCTTGATACTCGGGATCTTGGCTGCCTGTCTGACCTTCTGCGTCCGCGGGCGAGACGTCGAAATAACGAGATGGGTGACCTGCTTGGATACCCTGGTCGAAATTTGAGCGCCGAAGCTCATGGCTTGGACGCCAATCTCGGATTGCAGGACGTCGACGCCCAGGGGAACGAGGCCAGACAGGACAATCGTGGTGCCTTCAAGGGTCGCGGCCTTCATCGTATCGAGGACTTCGCCAACGTCTGGAACGGCATCAAGGTCGATGCCGTCGTCGCCCGTTTTCTTCCGCGGGGCAGACTGAGTAGGTGCAGCAGCGCGCTTCTCGTCGTATTCGGTGTAGAATTTGTGGTGTAATTGGGCAAGGTGTTGCTGTAGGTAATGCAGCTCAGCGTCGTCGTCGCGGAGGACTTGCGACCGATGTTGTACTGTCATGATGTGTGCGCCATTTTCGGTCTCCTGTGTCACCTTTTCGTTTTGTTCGTCTTCTTTATCAAGTGCCTCTTGCATGTGTAGCAGCGGCCTTTCCTTGATTTGCTGTTCCAACAGTCTCTCTTGCTCTCCGCTTTGTACTTCCTGCAGGACCTTGTCGTCGCCGCTGCTCATCTTTACCAGCTCGTCAATGGCAGACACCTTGCCATTTGGTTGGTCGGCTGCTGACGCCCCGCTCGTCTGTGCAGCGCTTGTCGTGGCGGCTGGCGTTGGCTTCGCTTCGGGTTCCGGCGGTGCGGGCAGGATGTCCTGTCTCTTGGGGAGGAAACTCGAGTTGATGTCACCGATACCCTTGAAGAAATCGTACGGCACAACCTTGATCAAGTTGGGGCGATTACTCGGCCACACATCTGCTCTGTCGTCGATAATGACCACCATGTTTGTGTTCACCGGGAATAACCGCTGGAGACTCTTTGAGATCATGCTGCCGTTCTCGTCACGGCTGATGACGCGGTTGCCAAAAAGCTTCTGCTGAGGATCGACGATCTTGGCAATGTTGAGAGCATATGCGCGTGTTCCCATTGTGTAGACGTGTAGCTCGTAAAGCTCGGCAACCTTCTCAAGGAACTCGGCGAGACCGGGCCGCATCTTGATGTAGTACCAGCAGCCGGATGTGACCATTCCTCGCGGGCCTTCATCATTGAGCTGAAATTTCTTGACATCCTTGACAGCATTATAATTAGGATTTGACGGGTCCTCCATCCATTCGCCAACCGTAGGTTCGATACAGGCGTGGATAATGGTCTGGTCGAGATCGACAACTAGGCTCAGCTTCCGTTGTCGTAGCAGACGCTTCTGGGTATCGGACTCGGCACGCGCAGCCAGGTCGCCGCTGACCATGAGGCCGGTCTGATCGTGTGTCATGTTGATAGTGGCGCGCTGAGTATCGCGTTCGGCGGTGGCCCAGTTCACCTCGGTCATGTCCTTTCCGCAGATGGCGCACAAGCCTTGGAACTGGATCTCGTGGGAGCAGGCCTCCTCGACCATCATACACGGGGCGTCACGGGTGAATGTCATGCCCTCCTTGAGACGCCATTCTTTGAGTGTGCCTTCGGCCGGACTATCCCAGCCTACGACGGTTGTTTCCTCCTCTTGCCAGGTGTTGCCAGCGATGGGGTCGCCGACTTCGCGCATCCATTTGAAAGAGTACTCGAGCACGCTCTCCTGTTTTTGGACGGCGTCGCCGGGGCGCTTGAGGAGTTTTGTAATGGTAATCGGGTAGCGCAGTCTCGCGCCGAGTGAAAGTAGCTTGCCCATGATGACGGCAGGCTACTGGGAGGGTTTGATCTAAAAGTCTGTCGCGGTAGGAAAGGGCCGAGGTTAGCAAGGTGAGCTTTGAAACACGCGCGTGCGCGCAAGTGGATGAAGAACTGAAAGATGCAAATAAGGGTTTTTCGAAAGGAGACGTGACACGAGGCGCGGTAGGCGGCAGCGAAGAGAGCCTTCAACGACGTCTCGGAAATGGAGGGAGGAGGTGCGACGAACCTAATGAGACTCCCCCAGTAACAATCGGAGAAGGTGCCGGTGTAGTGGCCAATCCCATTGCCCCGAAGCTGATGAGGGGAGTGTTTGACGAATACGCAACAGATGGGGAAGCTCTGGAGCGTTGCGATGGGATGAGGTGGACAGATAGGTGTGAGATGGGTAAGTAAGGTAAGGTAGCTCAGGTATGTAAAGCCGTCGCCGTGGTTGGTTGATGGTGGAGGATGGCAAGAGAGGGAAGAAGACGCGTGGGACGTCCGTATTCTTCTTAGCCTTGGGTCTTGACTGCCTTTGCCTTAGTCGAGTATTCCTCGAGTCGTAGGCGCAATTGAGTTTTTGGTGACGTGATGCAATTGGACGGAATGCTGGATGTCGTCGCGCGAGATGTCCGTTTGGCTTGACGCGTGATATCCGTAAAGTGCCCGTGGTGGGATGAAGTCAGAGCTGGTCTCGATGCGAGTCGCAACGGGAAGTCGAGCTGTGCTGCTGATGCTCTTACTCGCTTGGGGTTCGGGGGGTGTGGAGGTTTTGGAGCTCGGGGATTTCGAGTGGAGGCGGGTAGGTCTGGACCGAACCGTGACGTACACCGCAAGCAGGGCAAGGTGAAGGCAAGGTGAGCCGTGAGACGGAGTGGGGTCGGCTGTCGGTGAGCACTGACCACTTGGGTAACTGTGGAGTGAGGTGGGGCCGGTCGGTCGGCCTTTTGCAGGAATGCTTTTCCGAAAGTAGCTTTTAGGCGGCGGGGAGGTTCCGTTGAGTGGAGCAAAGTTTACCGAGGACTGGCAGCGGAAACACTGAACGGTGTGCGTTGGTAGTGTTGGTGTTGGTGCTGATGGTCTTGGTGTGTACCTGTTCTGGCGGGATCAAGTACCTCGGGGTCTTCGGCAGTCCGCTACTTTGCCAAGGCTTGAGTGTTTGGTGATGGAACGTTGAGGTACAGCAGCAGATGCAAGTTGATCTGACTTTTACGTCTGTGTTGGAGATGATATCGAAGTCGAATACAGTTGATTTATGCACTCTCTCTGTGGCAGCTTGCTTGTTGTAAGGTAGGTAGGTATCTGACAGACTGACAGAGCTGTGGTGTGTGATGGCCCTGGAGTGATACGATGCTGAGCAATATGGATCCAGGAGAGAAAAAGGTACAAGGCCTAACCTGTCGAGGTACAAGGTATAGTCGCTGGCGGAAGGGGGAAAAGGCAGCCTTTTTGGTATCCGTCGACCACTATCAGCCGGGCCACCCCCTTCTGAAAGAGTGGGATGCGATGGTCTATTTGTACCTGCTGTAGCACCCCAGCCTACTCCTCCGTGATGCAGCGATGCAGCAATGCAATGCTCCTCTTCCTCCTTCTCCTCTTCCCGCTCATGGCGCCAGTCGGCTCCAACTGGTGGCCCCCTGGTGACCCCTGCATGAGAGCTTCACGAATCACCCACCCCCTTGTTCATTCCCCAACTCGTCTCTCACTCACCCTCACCTCACTCCCCTCTCACTCACAGTCTGTCACTCTGTTTACTGT